AGAAACCATTCTTCAAGTCTTAGAGACTTCTGATCTTCATTGCTTGATGAGGTTCTAAGTTGTTGAGGCATGAGATGCCGTTGATGTAGGGATCTTGACACTAAGGGGGTTGAAAAAGTTACAAATCTCGATGGCCCGGTGGATTGAAACCCGATTCCAAATTGATATGAATCTCGATTCCAAATGCATCAGAAACTCAATTTTAAAGATGTCATAATCTCTATTATGTATATGAAGGAATATCGATTGCATATGGTCGATTTCGAATAGGTTAGAAACTTGATTCTGAAGAGATCGGAAACTTAATCCCATATATGTAGGGATTTCTATTCCATTTCGGTCGAATCTTGATTTCTGTAATGTAGGAATTTCATTTCCCACAAGTCCCCTTGTACGTTGATTCCGAAAACAAGAATCTTCTAGCCAGCTGCTATTTCGCAGTTCCGATTCCTAAAATGAATTCGTAATCTCAGGCATTTAAACAACGATGCTATAACCAGCAATCACGAAAATATGATGAGTCGCTCATTTTAGGTCGTTGCGGACCAACATGCTTGGAGGCCAAGCTTTAAACGTAATCTCCAAGATGAGGAGTTGGTTGAGCTTATGGGTTTGTTGCTCCTTCCGAACCAATGCATTTGGCGAACTGGTACTCATTGTATGATTTGGATAGGGTTTGTGATTTCAGTGAACCCATGGTAGCGAGAAGGGGTCGTAGAAGGGGGATTTTCGTAGATCTGCTATGTGACTCCATAGATGACAGAATTGAGGAACTTGAAAGGCAAGTACAGCAGTTGGCGTAGCAGTACACGAGCCTCAATAATGGGCAAGACAGTCATCACCCAAGAGGATCACGAGTACAAGCCTTTTCATTTTCGTGCTCCGCGTTTGGAGTTGGGTAATGAGATAGTGACAGAAGACCTAGATGTGGGGAACATCACTCTAGGGTTTTCGATTTGAAGGATGATATTTTTTATTTTGACACAGATTGCATCGAATGTCAACAATTTGTTGATTGGAATTCACTAGCAATCTTCGACATATACTCAGATGAACAACAAGATTTTTTAGGAGATCCCATCTATGATAAGGATCAAGATGATGGTGAAGATATTTTGGAAGAGGGTGAAGAATATGGAGAGAAGGCAACAAGAGGACTGATCCAAATCATGGCTGTTGAAGATCTCATTAGTATTGAAGAGGTGGAGCACTCATCAATATTGAAGAGGTGAAAGCATGCTCGATTTAGAATATGCAAATTGTAGCCCTGATTCCTCAACCTACATATTAGGATCCATTTCTTAAGGAATTATTTTTACCACAAATAGTATATGAGCCAACAAAAAAGAAGCAGGTTGAAGATGTAGTTTTGATGTTAAATTCATCTTAGCACATTTCAAAACTTCATGATGAGTTTTTTCCAACCAGAGGAGAATGATGGAGGGCAAAATTATTTATTTTTAATTTCTATTCAATTTTAAGAGATGTATACTTAAATTTTAGTTTTAGGGTTTATTTCTAGGGTTTGTTAGTTTTTAGGAATTCTATGGGTTTTGTAGTTTTTTTTATTTATTTCAATGTTGGATCAGTTAGAGGCTTTTTAGATATTTTAATTAAAGTTATGGAGTGTAGTTTATATTTAAGTTAATTGTTAGAACTTTTTGATCAAAAGTTAATTGTATGGACATATATTTTCTAAAATAATAAGTCTTTGATATAAATAAAGGCATGGATGGGCTGTAGAGTCATTCATGTATTTCTCTTTAAAAAAAGAAAGACTGTCTTGTAAAAGAAGCCTAAGGCTTGAGCACTTGGTGGGAGAAAGCCTTAGGGTTTCTGTAAAATTACTTGTGTTTGACTTGTTTCTTGCTAATTTTATTGTTCCCTCAATTTTTCCTACATCACTGAGTTGGGAGTTTCCCATGTGATCTCCTGCTGCACTCTAATGTCAACAACCAACTGCCTTAGTGGTCTCAAGTCGGCCAGGTTTAGGTCTGCTCCCCCAAAATTCAGGCGTCAACCTGGTTGCCTATCTCCCTTGAGATTCTCACAGAGAACCAACTTCAAAGGAAGGGTGTGCAAGTACCTAAAAGATGCTTGATGTGCTCAAAGGCTGAGGAGATAGCAGACCACCTGCTCCCACAATGTCACTTAGCATATCTGCCCAGCCACTCTTCAATGCTTCGGCTGGAACTGGGTTTGGCCATACTACATTGAGCAACTGTTCCAGGCCTACTATTCAACTCCCTTCCCAACCTCAAGTCTCCTCCTTTGGAGATCTTCTAGCCTGGCTATCCTATGGGTGGTCAGGCTCGAACGAGGCTCCTGGATCTTTGTGGGCAAACAACAGTTGCTGCGATCGTGCTCCCATGTTTCAAGAAAGGGATCTTCAAAGTATCTTGATTTTTTAATTTTGGAAACTCGAGATCCCTAACATCTTCAAAGTATTTCGATTTTTTAATTTTGGGATCTCGATTTCCTCTGTTAGGAATCTTGATCCCCACTATTAGGGATCTCATTCTCGACCTTGAAGACTAAGATAACGATCAAAATGATGTTTTTTGGGCCAGCTAGTAATGAAGCCATACTTTTATCCTTTAATATAACTACATTGCTTGGGTTTATGAACAAAGAGATCCCTACTTTAACGAGTATGTATACTTTTAGATTATATGTACTCTTTAAGCTTCGAAGCAAGATCCTTGAAAGCTTGGAATTGAGATCTAAAAATATCTGGATCAGGATCCTCGAAAGGCTGGGATCGTGATCCCTAAGCTATGAATTGTATGGACATTGCTCCCAACCATGGGGATGTTCTAGTCTTTCACTATCCCACCGCTCCTGATCCTGATATCACTTCCAATTCTCTTCCAGTCCCTTCAACTATTTGGGAAACCATCAGTAAGAGTAAGAGTGTATGGAGGATAATGTCTTGGTTTTAACTATCTGTTGGGCCAGGAATATCAAAGAGTTTCGGACTGGGCACTGGGGACTTCCTACTGAATTGAAAGCATTACTTGTCCTACATGCCCGTGTCTATCTCTAGATCGAACATATAGATTCCTGCATGGTTAGATACCATCAAATTCAACCTTGAATTGCTCCCTGGGTAACGCTGGCACAGCTGGGATAGGAGGTTTGTTTAGAGACCACTTGGGAAACAACTTGCTCTCCTTCTCATGCTTGATCGAGGTGGCTACCTCAGTGATGGCTGAAGCAAAGGCCTTATGGGAAGGCCAAACTTTTGAATACTGTTTGGGGCCTCAACCTCTTGGCGGAATGAGATTTCCAAAATTTCATTGATTAGGCCTGCAAAAAACCCCCTTGCGCTTGGAGCCTAGACCTCAACTGTGACCAACTATTATTCAATCAGCCCCCTATAGATGGCCTTCAAACACCCTAGAGAGAAGCCAATTTTGAACCATACTCACTAGCAAAACTAGGAGCTGCAAGGCAAAACCTTGTAGTGTTGCCCACTAACCGATGCTTGCCAGAAACGCCTGCCCTTCAATTCCCTCTTTATCTTCCACTTTATCTATCCCCTCTTGCCACCCCTATTCTTTTTTTCCATAAATCTCACAGCATTGTAATTTGTATAATCTCAATCCCGCTGGCACATTTTTCTGTTGTGCCTGTTTCCCGTTACATGTACATCTACAGTACACACACACACAAGAGTCAAATGCACTAAAAAAATACAGTTTCATGGTTTTCAAAAAAAAAATACAGTTTCATGGTTTTCAAATTTTCAGGCACCAAATATTCCATGATTTTGTATTATTGTTTTTTGGTCAACCAGTCCACTTTGATGACAGTTAAATATCTTCTTTGGATTATTCTTCGAAGTTTTGGTTTGTTGGTGGGTTAATTGATAAATGATGAACCAAACTAGTGCTTTTCCCAAAAGCCGTAGATCGAAATCAGTGTTACTAAAACTGAAATTACAGGTTCAGTAGAGTTGTATTCATCCAATCCTTATTAGACTTTGATTATGTGGCCCACTGAACCGTTAAGCATGTCAGTTTGGCTGGTTGATTGAGAACACACTGGTTCTGGGATTGTGACCTCGGACCTCAAAGATATTAAGAATGGACAAGTGGTTGAGTTAGTTTGAATTGGCGTAAACCAGCTGTCTTCTGAACAATCCTGTTCAAAACTTAAAAGAAGTGCTGGATTGAATCAATTAATGATAGGCTGGTGAATTTTTATAGCTTTTAATAAGGGAAAATGTTTCTGTGACCCCAACAACATATAAGTTATATGCGACGCCACTTCTTGGCAATTCGATCTAAATCGAACGGCTACGATTGTTCCTATCATAATGTCAAGTCAAACACTGTTTTATTTTTCATTTTTTTTCTACAAAACATTTTTTGATGAAATTTTGGGCATCCCATAAAAAAATTAGGGTGAACCTAGAAAAAGTAAAAAAAAAATATTTTATATAAAAATAAATAGCAAAAATGCCCCTACAATTTTCAGGGGTATTCTAGTAATTTTTAATCATGGGAAATATTTTTTTAATATTTTATCATGTGCGCCCTTGTTAGATCTATGCATGCCCCAAATTTGGCTTCAAAATTATTTGTAGAATAAAATGTAAAAATAAAAAATAAAACACCGTGAGCTGTTTGATCAAGATCTGATGTTTAAGTGCTAGCTTGCGACATTGTGACTCAAACCATCTCAGCCATCCACTCAGATCTGATGGCTGAGACCAGGGGTCACATAAACCATATATGTGGGTGGGGTCACATAGTAAGCCCTTCCTTTAATAAATGTAATATCAATTATCATTAAAAAGATGGGGAATGGTAGTGTCTGCTCAAATTCGGTGTTTATGGCATCTAAAAACCATTTACCACCTACAGACATCAGGTTTTATATCTTTTTACATAGAGGGGATGGTTACATAATATATATGCTTTTCCTTTTGTTTAATTTGCAAATCGAGTCTATTTTTTGTTGGTTGTGTAACTTAAAACCAGACTTGTGGCCTTATGAAACCAAATGGTACTGTTCTTGCACAAATTCTTAAGGCTGTGAACACAATACATGAGGAGCGTATCGTGCACTCTGACTTGAAACCTGCAAATTTCCTTCTCGTCAAGGGTTCGTTGAAGTTGATCGACTTTGGCATAGCCAATGCAATACAAAGCGATACCACTCACATTCAGCGGGATTCACAGGTTTTCTGTGTCTCTTTCTCTCTCACGTTTCGTCTCTTTTAGCATGGCATTCTTGGGAGTAAATGTTGTTGGACTTCTTGTTTGGAGCTTCTTTTGTTCTTTCTCTCATTATATGAAGTCTTTCGAAACCCAAGGACTCAAGCCTTTGATCATTTGACATTGACATTGTAGGTGGGCACCCTAAATTACATGTCCCCGGAGGCTTTCATGTGCAACGAACAAGACTCCAAAGGAAACACCATCAAATGTGAGCGTGCATCTGATATATGGTCCCTGGGCTGTATTTTATATCAAATGGTCTATGGGAAAACTCCATTTGCAGACTATAAGACCTTTTGGGCCAAATTCAAGGTAATAACCGACAGGAACCATAAGATCTGTTATGGCCCTGTGTCAAACCCTTGGTTGCTTGACCTCATGAAAAAGTGGCTTACGTGTGAGCGCAGTGAGAGGTGGAGGATCCCACAGCTGCTTAAGCATCCTTTTCTCTCTCCTCCAGTACCACCCCATATCCCTTCTTCACAAGACAAACAATGTAAACTTATTATGCAGATTGCCCAAGATCACGAATCTGTCCCACAAATTGTTAAACTTTGTACCCAACTGCAGAAGCTCATTTTAAATGTTGATGGAAGCTCAAAGCAATTGAGAGAAATTTAAGAATTCACTAAAAATATCACTTTCGTATGAGGATTTAGGCTAAAAAACATATACTTGGAAAATCTAAAAATTAAGTATCACATTATCTTTTAAAAATATCGATAGCAACAAGAAAATTAGTCCAACATAATCCAAATATATTCTAGTCGTTCGGGACTCCCGGTAAAACCCCACCTTGGATAAATTTTAGGACCTCAAATTTTTGGGGATATAACCTTTTTAACATATAGATTAACCTCACTAAATTTTTTTTTCCTAATTGCGCCCTATAAACATATATATAAAAAAAAAGTCTCAAGATTGAATAGAAACAGTCCAATTTTTTGAGAACATTACAATGATTGTGACTTCCATCTAAAAAAGATAAATCGTCTCTTTGTAGACAATCCCACATTAAAAAAGTAAATTTTATTTAAAATAAGCATATGACATTTTAAAATGGACCCCAATATTTCAAAATAATGAGAAAAAACATTCTGCATGAGAGATAAGAATATTGTGCTCCTCTAAGAAAACTAAAAGAGAAAAAAATTTAAATATTTACGGGGCAAGCTTTCTATGCTTCCCTTACAACATGAACTTATATACTTCTTCTTATCTAACCATCCATTCTGAATGGAGGGCTAAGATTGCGCCAATCACAACACTATTTTATTTTTAATTTTTTATAAAATATTTTGATACCAAATTTTGGGTGTCTAATCCTCTATCATTCTAGCACTTGTAAAAAAATATTCGCAGTAAAATACAATAAAAAAAATACCCCTGAAATTTTTAAGGGGTATTTTAGTCAGTATATTTTATCGAAAAATTAAATTTAATTTTTTTTGTTGGTACATGCCAATGAGAAGATGACACTACCAAATTTCATATTCATACAATTTTTATAAAAAGATTAAAAATAAAATACTCTGAGGCATCAGATCTAAGATCAAATGGTGAGTGTCTCACTTGATCAAAATTGGACGGCTGGATGGTAGGGGAAGTACAGATCTTCTACATTGTCGGGGAAGTATAGAACGTTTCCCAAACTTTAAGAGGAGAGAAAACATTTTAAATACAAACTCGCCACTCTTGGAAAGAAAACAAGAGTATTTTTAGCTTGGTGAATTGTGTGGACTTCTTTTGATCTCAAATTCTGTAGATTGCTTCGTTTTTAAGAAATAAAAATATTAAAATGAATTATAAGTTCTTGAAGGCTTTAATCCAACAACTCATGAACTAGAAGGCCTTTGGTCGATGAGTTCAAGAAAAAGAATTTTCTGGGGCTTTTCCAAATTTTGTTTAATAGGCTTCTTTGTAGGGTCCACAAGAATTTATGCGCCAAATTTGAGATTTATTATTCCATTTCTTCTTTTACATCTACTACATGGATTTTAGATAAAAAATTAAAAACTCTTAGTACAATTACAAACAATTTTGTCCGTCACATTTCAAATCAGGTACTTGTATCTCATTGACTAGACTCAGAGTTCAAATAAAACTCTTTTGAACTTTGTCACACCCTAAGCTGTCTAATGGCTAGATGTACCTTGTAATAAAGATAAATGATCTCATATCATATAATTGTAAAATTTTATTGGTGTGGAAACGATAAAATGGAAATTAAAAAAGAATAAATTTTTTTATTTTCAAATTTAAGGACTAATAATATATTATGCATTTTACATTAAAAGTTAAAGGTCTCTTTGTATACTTTTTCATAAAAATAAAAAAATATATATAAAACAATATTAGGTTTTAAGAGCTCAAAACAATTTATGTCTTTTCAATATATTTGGTCATAAGGTGACGTAAAATGACTTGAAAATTTCTGTCATAAAAATCCCTCTAACTAGGCGTCTTGCATGTCGGACCAAATGTTCAATTTGATCCCGCGAGGCCAACTGTAGGCACAATATGATCTAAAGCCGAGCCATAGAAAGGCGATCCTCCTTGGGAAAGCGCTAGACAAGAATTACGCATTAAAAAAAGTACATTCATGGTCTTTGCAATGCACAGGCACAAGATCATATTATTAAAAACAATTTAAACCGATGAAAATTATTTTTCATATATAATAAAATTTGTAATTGAAAAATTAAAAATAGTACCATATTACAAAGGTAAAAAAATTAAGGTAATTGAGAGAAATTTAAGAAGTTAGCCTTAGTTAATAGGTTAAAGAATTCCTTAGCCTTATTTTTAATTGAAAGAATAGACAATAAAAATTTTAATAATTAAGAAAGTGTTATAATTGGTTTTAAAAATAAAGATTAAAAAGCTTAGAGTTTATTTTAGTGAGAAAACTTAAGAAACTTTTTCTAGTCCCAATAAACAAAATTTAAAGGATAAAGTTTCTATACGGCGTAGGTTTTATAACAACAAAATAAAGGCTCACCTCAAATACTCATTTTAAAAGCACTTTTGGCATTGGAAATCTCCATGGTGGATCCAAATCAATTTTCATCACCGATAATAAAATTTGAAACTCAAGAAATGGTACAAATCATGCGGATCCATAAATACTCAATTTTAGGGTGAAATGGACGGTTTAGATAATTTCTTACAATATACATATTTTTGGAGTTGAAAATCATAATTTTTTTGACAACTAATACGTTCAAGTCGTGATGATCCATGTAAAGTTTTCCAATGCATGAATTGGAATTTTTTGTGCATTATGAGGTGAGGCTTTATTTATTTTGATAGGGCTACAACTCTATGAAACAATTTTCCATTTTTAAAATATAAAAAAAATCCAATATCGAGAACGGCGTCGGCCATTAGAAATCAACTTTCCGAAAGTAATTAAGACTTGTCTAAATCTTGATTTAGCAATAGTTCAATCTTAAATTGGTTTTCCTACGTGTCCCAAATCCCTATCTTGATCTATTTCTTTATCTCTCCTTTAAAATGATACTCTTTCTCCAAAACGTTGTAATATAGTCTATCTTATTACCTCTTTAACATTACAAAACCCCCGCAGCTCTCGATCTGGCCAATAAAGAGAGAAGAAAATCTCTCTCTCTCCATCAAAAGTGGAGACACCTCTTTCTCTCTCTCAAGAACAAGGAATTATCTCCCTCTCTCTCTTTAAACGCTAATTTATGTTTATCTTGTCTTTATCATGTAAATCAAACCAAGAAAGAAAGGAACCCTCTCTCTCTTATCTCATCAACTAAACCAAATTTATGTTTATCTTGTCCTTATCATGTAAAACAAATTAAGAAAAGAAGGAACCCTCTCTCTCTTATCTCATCAACCAAACCAAATCTACCTATCCGGAAAGAAGAAAAGGAAACTCCTCCCTCTCTTTTGTCAATATAACACGCAGGTGCTCCCCCTTCTCTTATTATTTTCTTCCTTTTTCAAGTTTAAGACAATCCTTGTCTTTCTTTGTTTCTTCTATCTTATCAATCCCATCTCTCCTTATTTTTCTCTCTTCCTCTTTAACAACGCATTAGAAACCTCTCTCATTATTTCAACTTTATTTAATTCTCTCTCTCCTGTTTCAAAATCACGTTCCTCTCCCTTGTTCTCTCTTCTCAACTTTATTCAATTCTCTCTCTGAAGTTTCAGCTTTAACCGTATCAACTTTATTCGTACTTTGGCTCTCATCTCTCTCTGTTTCGCTATTTCATCTCCCATCTCTAGTTGTTTCTGTCTTTTTCTCTATTTCTATCTCCCATCTCGAGTTGTTTCTGTCTTGTTCATTGTGGTAGCCATGTCTTCCTCTTTCTTAACTCTTCTGCCCAACCAAAGCACACCGGCTTGGACCGATGTAAGACTAAAACTCACTCTCACCTGCTACCCACCCCGCGAAAATACTCACCACCTACTTATAAAACTCATCGTTAGATTAAGAGTTGGAATGAAGGAAAGAAGATGTTTCATGGTTTCTACTGCACAAAACATGGCGACAACCTTAGAAGATGTCATCTCCCTTATGGATGAAAAACTCAAGCAAGTAGACCCGGTGATACCTAGCCTAGGTAAGATCACAGCAGCCTACATGTTTGGTGCAGCAAAAGCACTTCGTGCTAATCCCAATGGGCCACAAGAAAATTGACTTTCACTAATTTATTGAGGGTGAATGATGAAGCGGGTGACTTAGAACCGGAGATTTTGGATAACTTTGTATCTGAAATTCAAAATAAGCTCGAGAATTCTCTTCAACCTCAGACCTCTTTGGTGGAGTCCTTTAAGCTAGTAGAAGCGAAGGACACAAAAGAAGATGTATGTGTTATATGCATGTCCGAGTTGAGCAATGGTGCCAGTAATATAAGGGAAATGCCGTGTTTGCATCAATATCATGAAGACTGCATATGCAAGTGGCTCGAGTGCAATCAATCGTGTCCAATTTGCCGATATAGTTTGTGCTCTAAGTAACTTTCTGCATGAACAAGATGAAGATATTAATGATTTTATTTTTCTCTTTTTTTTTTTTTCTTTACCGGAGATGAAGATTCATAATTGCTCTAGTAATATAAGATTGTCTCCTCTAGATTTTGCCATAATTTTTTCTTCTTTTATTAAGTCCAGATGCTCCTTCTCATGATTTAGGTGTCTAGATTTTTCTTTTCATGATTTGGATAAGAATATATGGATTCTTTTCTTTCTTTTCTCAATAACAATGGTGAGTTTGGGAACCAATTTCTTCTGCCTTGGATGCAAAATAGTGAATTTGGTGGCAATCTTGGATAAGTTTACTCTTGTGGTCCATTGGATTAAATTATTATAAGTTTTTTTATTTTATTTTATTTTATTTTATAGTTTTTTTGACAGTCAGGCACTACCCTACTAACAAAAAAATTGGAAATTTTTTTGTTTTTTTGAAATTTTAATCAAGGATTCTATCCTCGGACCGAACAGTGATTTTGAAAAAAAAAAAATACAAGTTGACCGACATTCTTTGTAATTTTTGTGTATAAGTGGAGCATTTTGTATTTTAGAATAAATTTTATGGTCTGTGGGTAAATCACTAAATTATTATTCTCAGTTAGCAAAGAACATTTTGA